TGTCTTATAACAAGAAATCTATTTCAAAAAAGGGTGAGAGTAGTGAGGAAATTTTCATATCGGAAAATAATGTTGTTAGATCAAATAAATTTATGGGTTGAACATAAAGCTATTGCCAAATATCCGCTATCAGTAGTCTTTAAAAAAATTCAGTCCCTTAGAATTTTTTTTTTCTGGAATTTGAAAAATTAAAACTCTTAAAACATGTTTGTAGATCCAAAAGTAATCCAAAGAAGGTATTATTTTCTACAATTTACAATTATTAAGTTCACTTATATAGCTGTCGTTTATGTGTTAGTTCTAGTTAATAATAAAGAATTGCAATGGTTGTTTGTGAATAAACAACAAATACTGATAAAGTTTTAAATTTGAATAAAGCAAATTAAGTAAATGTTGGCACTGTGTGTCAATACATAGGTCTACGGTTCAAAGTTGATAGGTTTTAATTGCCTCACACTTGTACTCAAATATTATTTATGATCAATTGAGTCAATAGATTTTTCCAAAGACTACTGTTGTTGAATATTTACTTGACTAAAAATTATCTATTTTATTTATTTCGGCTATTCTCAGCAACGGGCTGTTAATACTAAATTATTAGGTAAGTAAAAATTCTCCGCAACCTTTTTCTCACCAATATATATATTGTTTCTTGAGATATTATCTCTTAAAGTTGCAAATGAAAAAAATGTACATGAAAAAATGTACAGCAAGTCAGCCACTGCATGCTTCTGACTTTATTGGGCTCCTTCAATTATATAGTATCAACATATAGTCTAGTGGATACAGTTTGGTTACCAGCTGTCAAGACCGGCTGTTGGTGCCTTTAGTTTTCGACTCCAATCAATAGCGTTGTGGGTTAGCATTCTTTAACATGATATATCAAAACCTTGTATATTTTGGACCATTCATCTAGTTTTTGGCGATCTCTGCTTCGAATACATGCACATTTCTACACCATACATTTTATAGGATAGATTTGATCAGATTTGATAAGGTCTGCAGCTTATTTATTTCTGGAGTTGTTAATAGGTGTATTAAGGTGTTTACAAAATCGTAAGATTTTATTTTCGATTTCATATGATCAACAAGGATGTATATTTATGATGATAACATGAGGTACAGAAAAGATAAATTAACAGATGCAGCTATATTATCAATGATACTTTTTGTATATAATGCCACTAAGTATTCCACCTGATTCTCTGCTTAATATGTAATATTCGTCATAAAGTATATGATAATGTATTGTCACGTAGTTATCTTCGAACATAATTGCATGATTTATAAGCTACCTCTGTTTAATGGTGGATCCATTTCAATACGTTGAATACAGTAACAGCTATCTTTCTCTTTAACGAACTTGATCCCACTTAACCTCTATTGATACAAATGCTTTATTTTCTGCAGAAAAACTTCTCAAACTGCGTATAATTTTAAAATAAAGAATTTTATCATACAAAAATTACAAAAAATTTTCTTGGAAAAACTCACACAACAGGAAATTGTTAGCCGAAAAATGTGTATATTGCATAAATTAACTGAACCGATTTATTTTTAGACTCAATATATTGTTAATATTACTTGCATTAATAGACAATCAAAGCCACTCTTATCAGGGGGATTACATGGCACTGATTATAAACTTTTTTGCTTTTGTTTTTGGGCAACCTCTAATGTAGTCGCATTATTCATGTTATGAAAATCTGATTTCTTTCGGTTAATCAATTTATTTACCTTTTCGTTCTTATCATACAGAAAAAAAACTGACCACACACTTGGGTACAAACAAAATTGATAAAAAATAAATTAAAATATAATCAATAAATTGTATATAATAAATAAAAATCGATTTCATATAAAAGGCTGGATAGGTAGTAATTAAAATCATAGTAATAAAACATAACTCAAAGAGTGAACACTAGCAAGTGTGGAAGAAATAGAACTACATAAAACTAATAACAAAAGTGAATACTAAAATTTTTACTTTAAATAATTTAATAATTAGTGATATAAAAATGTTTATTAAATCCATATTGGCAATTTGTTTGTTGGCCTATTGTGCCAGTGCCTCTGATATCGATATTGATATGGATCCAGTAATTGCACAGCATCAATATGCAATGCGCATTATGATACGTTCATTATCTGGCAACATGAATCGCGATTTACCTACCGCCGATCAATGCTTCGATTATTACTTGGATCAAGAAAACGCTATTTATAATGAGTATAGCCGCACTTACAGAGGATGTTCAACGACTGCCAGCGATGCTAAGAAAGCTCTTTCAGATGAAAACGCTGAGAAACGTGACAGTATGATTACACAGAGTAAGGCAGTTTGTAGTGGTTTGGAGAGCTGTTACGATGTGACTGACGGTTTAGCTTTCTTCACATGCATGAAAGATACTGTAATTTTAAAAATGAATAACTTTAATTTCTTAGTTACAATTGTGTATTTAATTTTAGTCATCTAAAAGTGTTTCAACAGTATGGGGATTGGAGACTGACTCTAGTAACCAAGTGCAATACTTGGAAATTCAGTATCAAAAAATTGATAATGATCAAAAAGTCTGTTCAACTGCTGCTCGTAATAAGTATATTGGCGATATGGCAACATGCAATACTGATTTAGACAGTTGCTTAGCTGGTGGTTCAACTCTTCCAACAACCGCAGCTCCCGCGGATTCCACTACTCGTCCACAACCAACAATTGAAGATACCACTACTACTTCTCTACCAGTGGAGACCACCCCAGAACCAACAACTGAAGAAACTACTACTGTTGCACCAGTGGAGACCACTTCAGAACCAATAACTGAAGAAACTACTACTGTTGCACCAGTGGAGACCACCCCAGAAGCAACAACTCCAGAACCTCAAACAAGCGGAACACCAGACTCAATGCCAGAAGAAGATGTTCGTTTCAGACCAATGTCTCGCATGAGGATGTGGAACGTTTTAAGAAAAGTGTAAACTCTTAAATCCAAAATTTTGCATTTTTTTTAATTTTAAAATTTAGAACTTTTTAACGAATTTTTATAACGATTTTTGTTTCAAAATTATTTTATTTGTGAATTTATGCATTTAAATCAGTGAAATATATTTTTATATGATGAAAACAAAAAATACTTTAATTTATTAAAACAATATTTTATTTTCGAAAAATAGCTAAATCGATCTGTTTAATTATATTGAATACAGGAGTACATTTAGTTAAATGGTGGCCAACGTCCACTTCATCGTGACGCAAAAAATTTTACAAATGTAATAATTAATACACTAAACTATATAATGTGATGGTTTATGGGTTAGGCTAAGGCAGTGAGCATTGTGACCAGTTTGATCAATTGTGCACCCCTTTGTGCTTAGACATTTCGTATCTGGAGGAATCGAACCAGCACCTTCGGAGGGAGTATTTGAAAGTCTTCATTCTCTAGTTGGTATGCACATAATATTTTATGTTTCATAAACTCTTCCTCATCGCGGCAGAATCTGCAAATATTTATGTCGGATAGATATTATTGTAGCCTTTTGATTAAAACCGATATTTTTTTAAGTATTTTCCGCACAGTTAAGTCAGTATTAAAATTGAAATGATCAATAATTTTTGAGCCGACTTTAAAGGTGCTTAAAGTTGCACACACATTTTTTGCGTACGTGTTTTTCACATAGGTATATATAACACATAAGCACATAACTCTGCACAGTATTTAAACATGGATTCTTAACTTGCGAAATTCATCTTGTGCGTCTGCAAGTTAAAATTAATCCCCCATGATTAATTTTGAATTCTAGCGTATTAAGGTTATATATTATATTCTATGTTATAATTGTATGAATTAAGAATATATTATTTTAATAAGAACAATTCGTCTTTAAATGTAACAATAAAACGGGAAATAAATCTAATTAACCATGTGTGATGGCCAGTCGATTCGTATGCAAACTAAAATAAAAGTATAAATTCGAGGCTGAGATTAAAAGAATGTATTTAATTAATTAATTATTTTTAATAGATATTATATAAATTTAAAGTTCGAAATTGATGGTAGGTATGTGATCAGGGAGAAGAGACGTGATGAGCAGGACAAAAACCGGTAAACAATAAAAATTACAACCGAAAAGCTTTTTTTGTTATCGAAAATCTTAAAAACTGTTTTGTCTTATTTCAAAAAAACAAATTTTTTTTATATTGAATAGATTATAAGATGAATTTATTATAATTATTGTCATTATTGGTGTGTTCTTAATAATTGATTTTTGGCTTTCGTATGTAACGGTCATACTTTCCGGTATCTTGTTTTTTACTTCTTAAAAACGGTTTTACATGAAACAACCATAAAGACAGTTTTCAAACTTAAGGATTAATTATATATCTTTGTTGTGTCTAGTACGATAGTTATTTGTGTTCTGAACTAACTAGTTCACTGCAAGATATTAGATTAATTTTATAAAAATTAAAATGAGTTAATAATATTAAACTGTAAAAAAACTCACAAAGTGGAGAAGTCATTTGATTCGATTTTAATAGGCAACGATCAATTTACACATATGATAATTCCTTATGACTTAGTTTACATATCATCGGAGAGAATTATTTAAACGAAAAATAGTGTGAATAGTGCAGAATAGAGTATAGTAAAGAAACACGGAAATGAAAGGATCAGGAAAGCAAAGCATATAGCTTTAAAACAAAGATATAGCTTTTATATAACAGTTAGCGGTTTTTTTTGTATTATTTTTCAGTTAACCTTCTTTTTTTTGTGATATACATAAATCTATTTTTTTTTTATTTATTTTAAGTGATTTTATGTTATGTGGTGTTAAAATTTATAGATAAGCTGAATTATGAAAATTTCTTGAGTGGGTTTTATATGTTCGATAACTCATTCCGCTCCTAATTTTAGGCAATTAGATTTTGTAAGTGCTTACGCTAGCATACATTTTGCCTTTAAAAAACTTTATTAATAAATTCAGGCTTTATATGTTTTTCATTAACAACACAATAATTATTATATATGCATATATAATATATATTAGGTGTAGTATTCATTATTTTACCAATAGTTGGCTTTAAATATCTGTATCCCGCCTTCTACAAGTCTGATCGGATTACGGTAACTGGCTTGAGGAAGATAATATTTCGTACTAAAAAACATTTGACAGTTGGTTGACTAAGTTTCTTCTGTGTTATGGAGTGTTGAATATATCCTGGCGGTAGGAAAAATGATACCATGTATTTAGCAAGATTGTGATATGCTACCCAAAAGATTGTATCAAATCTCAGCAATTTGAACCAAGAAATCAGGAAGAAAGTGTCCGAAAGCTCAAACTGTTGTCTACGTTAGTCGAAATAAAATTATGTGGATTTTTAATATATAAATAATGGTTGGGTATGGTAAAAAATAGGCAAATAGGCTCTTGAAATAGGCAAGTTTTATTAAATGCGTTGATAAAAGAAAATGTTTAAATTTTTTTTCAGTTTTCTGTCAAGCTTAATTTTATTAAAGTTTTTTATATAAGAATTAATTTTGAATAAATTTATTTCCATATATACATCATTTTTGGCTTCACCACAAAATATTTGTTGCTTTCATACTAACGGAAATTATGTGCACTTAAAGTAAGATCTTCAAGTGAAGTAGTATGAATAATGCAGTACTTTCTAAGCCATTTGTTCCTAAAGCTGCAATAACAATTAAATGTCGACATATTGATGCTAAAACTGGATTAGATTGTTCATATGACAAAAAAGACTTAAATAATCAGTCGCAGAATGAAAATGATGTAGACGGATCTTCACTTGAAACTTCTAGTAACGATTCCGGAGACAACAACTCAGACGACGAAGGGGACGACGACAACCTAAAAGGAAAGGGAGACGGTGATTTTAATTTCGACAATTTAAAGGATTTAAGAGAATTTCGTAAATCACATAATTTACAACATTTATTTCATTTAAGTTTATTTAGAAGCGGAGACTACACTTATCCAACTGAACTTGGATATCACACATTATTTGCATCTGTCAGGTATAGAGCATTTGAGAAGCCGAAAATTGATAAAGCTCTATTCAAAATGAGAAATGTCCCTGAAGAAAACAAACATATAAAACACAGTGACCATGAAGGTCATAAAGATGTGGTGGCAAATAATTATTTTGAAATTCCAAACTTACAGCAAGGTAATTTTTATAATTATAAATTGTAATTTTTACAAAAATTAAAAAGCCATGAAATTTTTTCAGAGTTAAAGAAGAGAAATAAATTTATTGACTCTATGCCACGTACAAAACCACTACAAGTCGAAGGAATACAATTTCAAAACTTTTCAATGCCTTACAAAACACCAAATGATCCACAGCAGGCCTTAGCAACACCACAGCATTTACCTATTATAGATATTACCGAGAAACTAAAACGGGAGCTTTTACATTGCATGCAACAAAACCTTTTAAGCGGCTGTTGTACGGGATGTTGTAATGAACCGACCAGCTGTGGATGCGATCCATGCTGTGGTTGCCCATTGAAATGTGGTTGTTGTGTTAATATCCCACGTGGTCCTTATGGTCCATGTGGTGCATTTGGGTCATGTGGACCATGTGGACCATGTGGACCATGTGGTCCATGTGGTCCTTGTGGGCCATGTGGCCCATGTGGTCCATGTGATCCATGTGGTTCATGTGGTCCATGTGGTTTATGTGGTCCATGTGGTCCATGTGGTCCAGGTGGCCCATGTGGTCCATGTGGTCCATGTAGTCCATGTGGTCCATGTAGTCCATGTGGTCCATGTGATTCATGTGATCCGTGTTGTTCAGGCAACGGTTGTTGTGGTCCAAGTCCATGCGGCCCAAATCCATGTTGGAAACCTATGTGTTGTGATGCTTCAAGTGCATTCCCATGCTCCGTTCTAAATATTGATTGCAGTTGTGGGTATTTTAATTGCTGTGCAGGACCCAGTTGTAATGGCTTTCTGTATTGCCAAACTTTCAACCGCTGATCAGAGTCACCGAAAATGGTAAGTAGTTTCAAGTGCATTTTCCAGTGCTCCGTCTTAAATATTGATTATAACTGTGTTTATTTTAATTGTTGCACGGGATTTAGATCTAATCGAGGGTCTTGTGATATTAATAATTGTTATGTGGTAATTATCAAGCTTACGACTGCTGTAAATGGTGAGTAGAATAATTGAAGAAGTTTAAGTAATTTAGAGTTTCAAAAAAATGGTTAAAAATTGCAAATCGTCCAATCCGTACTATATACGAATATTATGTAAATGGAACTAATTAATTATAAAACTTTCTGTTAATTAATTTCGTTGATTTTTTTTATAATGCTAAATTTGGAATGTTCATCTATCTTGGCGGCACGTTCAGAGCATTGACTTTATAATATTGTTTAATTGAAACTATATTCAAGTCTTTATATTTATAATATTTACGTTTCTTACGTATTGTGGTGCTTCATAATTTTTTGGGCGAATTTGTTACCTAACTGTTTAGAATCAGACACAAGATATTATTGATAAATTCCATAATTCTATATATTAGTTACTTAATATTCCCACCATTAAATGGTATGAGTACCATCTTCGTTGTGAGTCTTAATATTATATTGCTGTTTTTCGTAAATTACTGTACGTGTTATTTGAGATTTGAAGCTAATTAGAAATTCGATCCATAGTTTTGCATTAGTAGAGTGTACTTTTCTTAGTAATCAGGTTTCTTAGATATATATCTCGTTCTAGAAAGTTCTGTGTTATGAATTGTTCTACTTAAATTCCAGGCTTCAGTTTCTGTAGAGTGCATTTAGCTTCTCAGCGATCTTTATGTTTCAATAATTGGAAATCGTCAATAAAGGAGCTATGGAGACTGATCTGAAGATTAAGAATATTGAAAACATTAAGAATATTAATGTTAACTCTTATTTTGAGTAGATTAAGTAAAGACATATTATTTTATTTTTGTTATCATTCCAGATCCGTGTCGTTTCTGCAGACAATATAATTGGTTTTGTTAAATTCTTATTAAAGTTTATGAAAAGTACCTTTGATGAATATAGACGTACATAGCATATAGACTCGTTTAAGACAAAACAAACTTATTTAGATCTAATTTACATCTATTATAACATCTATTAGATCCTATTCTAATTTAATTCAGTTCAAATCTTATATTTAAATTATGCATATAAGTTAAATAGAATAAAAAAGGAAAGGCCTTTTTGTGTTTTATTCGTTCATAAAATTGAATAAGAATTTGTATTTGTAAAAACCTTACCTTTATAAATATTTATTGTTTATTTTTGATTTTCCTGTCAATTGTAATTAAAAAAAATATTAACATATTCAATTCTCATATTTAATTTATCCTTAATAATGAATTAAATTGCAAAATTTTAGTGATTCCTGCATAGGGTAAGACCATCATTTCCTATATGCGCTAAACTATCACTGTGGACGGTATATTGTCTAGTCTGAAATGTGTGAACGAAAATATTAGGAAAATATAAAAAATAATATTAAAAAAATATATTAAAAATGTGTGCCTGTGATTGTTAATTTATGCGTCCATGGGTTGTGAATGATCAATATCAAACACAATACAGACTTGCACGAAGACTATAACGAAGACTATAACTATAAAATGGGTTTACTCAATAAAGATGGAGTAAGAACTTCAGTGTCAGAACCAGCAGTATCGACAGGACAACAAAGTCAGAACACTAAAATTGAGTTTCCACCCTACGAAGAAGAAAGTTTACCAACGACTACACCGCTGAATAAACAAACGAATAACAATGAAGTGCTTAAACGAGAACTAATTGACTTATTGACGAAGACTAATAAAAAAAATCGTTGTTGTTCTAAGCAGCAAAATTGTGTTCAACCACCGCCACCAGCACTAGTTGGTCATGAGAGAGAAGGCTGTATTTTAGATGACATTGTGCACTGCATAGATTCGACGCTCGATCTGACTGATTCTGATGAATGCTGTTGTTGTTGTTGTTGTTCTTGTTCTTGTTCTGAACAACATAAAAACTCAGACACCAGTATGAAGACATTATATACCAGAACGAAACATACTAAAACAAACGAGTGTCCGATCCCTATGTATCCTGTCGTCATGTGCTGTATACCACAAGGGGCACAAAATTATAAATGTGACCCATGCTGTTCATATTCAAAAATATCACATGCAAGGTTGTCATTTTTAGATCATTGTAAAATTACACCCGATATGTCTTGTTGTCTTGAGAATAAGGAAGGAGGCTGCTGCTGTTGCCGCAAAAAGAAAAAAGAACCTCAAAACTGTCAAATCATTTTTCAACCTTGCAATGACAATAGAGCACAAAATTACAATTCATACACATTGCGAAACGTAACTTCTGACCCTAAATATAAAAAAAATTCCGGACTGTGTTGTTGCGTTAGTTCCAGTTCCAGTTCCAGCTCCTGTTCTTGTTCAGAGAATTCTGGAAATGAAAGTAATGGTGAAGATAACGGTTCGTGAGTTTCTTACTGTTAAGGGTAAGTTCTGCTTTTTTTATAACAATTACTAAATAAATAATAAACGACTATTATGTTGCGGAACTATAGTAAAAACTTACGACTATAGCGTAGTAAATGTTGTAGTCTACTAATATCTGTAATAGTCTACTAAGATTTTGCAGATTGCAGATTAGGCCGTTAAGATCAAAGTACTGAGATCCCCACTGCAATAATCAAGGTTAAAAATACATGTTAATGGAATATATTATACATTTAGAAATTTTAATTTATCAAGACAAAGTGCATAGATCATACTAAAGACAGAAGGTTATATGCAGTAATTCTATAACGTTGGAGCGAACGTGGTTGCTATGAAACACAGAAATATTATCAAGAATCTGTGTAGACAATGTTACGAAAACAGTAGTAATGTAGGGGGTTGATGAGTGGAGATTTCATACCACTGAAGCAGATTAAAGATATTGGTGGTGCTTGTACCTTAAAGAGAGCAAAAAAGTCAGCTAACCAAAACCTGTAAACTAAATGTTTGATATTGGTATTAAAGATGTTTTTGTTTAGGAAATCTCGTTTGAGTTTGATAGAGCTTTTGTAGTTATTTTGATGAATCGATATTAATAAAATACTTTTTTGGTTGTAAGAAGCTCGAGTTTCGGAATTCTATATGGGTAAGTACACAAAATAAGAAAAGTGCCATAAGGAGCATTTACAATAAGATCGTTTGTTGATCCTAGTAGAGGCAGGTCAAATAGGAGATAGATGAATGATGATGTTAAAATAATTTATTAGGAATAAAATTAGCAACTTGTTTAAAAAGTCCATGTATTTTAATGAATTGAATAAAATTTTTTCATATTTAAGGTGATTTTCTCTGTAAATACATTAAATCATTCAACACATCTGTGCGTGTTATAAAACGTGTTGTTCTTTATCATAAATAATTTATTTACACATCCAAGTTTTTAGCGTCAAAAATAAGTTAAATTTTCTTTTTTATATATACTTTAAATAATTAATAATAAACTAATATATTTTGAACTATATTTATATTTTCAGGAAGAGTGCAAAAAGTATTGTAGAATGCATTGAGGCAAACGCGGGCTAATAAACGAATTAAAACGGTACATTTTGGACAATTGGAACCGAAACAGTTAGGTTGAGGAGTCAAAGGTTGTACAGAATGTACTAAGTTTTAAATTCTAAAAAAATCAATTTAGACAGTATATCAAAATCGACCGTGCAAGATCAACACATAAACATAGATAGTAAAATAATAAAGTGATTTAAAATAATCTGCTACTATTGCGTTGCAATTTTTGAAGAGTAAATTAAATAAATATTAAATATGGGTTGTTGTGAACGCCCGGTTTGTGCGGCCCCCTGTTCACCATGCTCTCCATGCTCACCATGCAGTCCTTGCGGACCATGCGGGCCTTGTGGACCATGCGGACCTTGTGGTCCATGCGGAGGATGCGGACCATGTAACCCTTGCGGCCCATGTGGACCATGCGGACCATGTGGACCTTGCGGACCATGTGGACCTTGCGGACCATGTGGACCTTGCGGACCATGTGGACCATGTGGACCTTGCGGACCATGTGGACCATGCGGACCATGTGGACCTTGCGGTCCATGTGGACCTTGCGGACCATGCGGTCCATGTGGACCTTGTGCACCCTGTGGACCATATTCAGTATGCAGCAATGATTATTACAGACGAGAGTATTGTACAAACAACTGTCTGGTAACTCGCTACAATTGCCATAAAACATTACCACCAAATCATTTTTGCGGATGTAGAGATTACTGCTGCCGCGTATGTTACTGAAAGGAGTTGCACTTGAAATCTTTGAACGTACAAAAATATACATGGGTAAGTATTAAGCATTTCTATTATTTATAGTTAAGTCTTTTTGTTAAATTAAACACGTATGTTTGATATTTCATATACACTTTTTTATTATTAGATTAAAGTAAAGTAAAGTACTTTACGTGTATTTGAAGTAAAATACTGAAAGATATTTGGTAATCTAAAGTAATCATTATTTGTATATAATCATCTGGCAAAGAAAATCATTAGTACGTATATAAAGTGAAACTGAATAGTTGATAATATACTATCCATACTTACGGTTGTTAATGGCAAAATAATAATTCTTTAATTAGACAAAGACAATACATATTGTCGTATATAATATTTAACAGAAAGAGCGATTACTTTATAGCTTTTTCTATATTACTACATATTCACATGAGAGTTTTGCTTGTTTGTCTTGTTAGCTGTCAAAAATTTTCATTTTTCATTGAAATCAACGACAATTGACAGCTGCGATCACAACAAAACTAGTGTGAATCCAGTAATATCTTCTTTGATTAAAAGTATTGATACGAGTAGTTAAGAGAACGTTTAAGTATGACAATACAAGTAAAGAGTTGTAAATTTTCAAGCACATCGGCAAAATTATCAGTACTGAAGCAAGTATTTTGAAAGAGTATCTTTCCTCGGATACAAAAGAATTAAGTCAGTACAAATGTATTTGATATTCATATCGAGGATATTTAAGGATGAATACATTGTATATGAGAAAGTTCAGCGCTTAGAATACATAAATTTAAAACTGACACAAAGATACCCGGATAAAATATGAGGGTAATTCAAAATTTCATGACGTGTTTTAAAAAATCGAATCATTTCTTTAATGGCAATTGATCTGTCTTCCACAAAAGCTTAGTTTCATATGCTAGAAATGATTTAATTAGAAATCCTTCCAGAATATTTAGTTTCCACTTACGTCTTATCCTAACGTTATCCGTAACAAATAATTTTTAAGTGCTCAAAATTTCTCTCTAAGTACAAATCTTTGCATTTCAGTAGTCCAATTCTCAATTGTATAGATGAACTTTGTGTAATAAGCTACTATAAATAGATCGCTCGATTGAACTATAGTAACTGGTTACTGTAGATAGAAATATCAAAAATAAAGTTAAGGAAATTCATTGCTTACCGCGCACGATTAAGCTATAGTATGTATATATATATATAGCTAACTGTATTCCATTCAAATAAACCACCCTTGGTGTTACCAACAATTGTAGCGACAGTATGTACCAGTGAAGATTTTCTCTGGTATGTCATTGAGTTATTGGCTATTCTATTCCACGCAATTGGACTACAACAATAATAGTCATATACGTTAAGAATCAGTTTCTTTTATTTACAAATGATTTTTAATTAAGAAATTTGTGTTTTAAGTCGATAAATTCATATCGAATTGAAAAGGGGATAATAGTATCAAAATGTTGAAATCCAAAATCATTTTTAATTAATTGCATTTCAGATGTCGCCAAATATTTGTCATCAAAAACGTCTATTCTTCCGTAAATAATTCTTAAAATATAATATATCTGAATAACTTGTTTGAGAAAAAATTGTTTTATAAGTATTTTTCATTAAGTGATCTTGGCTTATGTTAAATCCAAAAATGTCAGACATTTGTCTGAAAAATATATTTAGAAAAAATTTTGGTTTCGGTAGTGTGTTTCGTATTGGTGTTTTTCAAAATTTATTTGTTTTGGTCAAAATCAATTTTTGTTTGGAATTCATTTCATATTTATGCAACAGAATTTAATATATTTAGAATGCATATAATTTAAAGAGGAGACTTTAAATAAATTATGACCTTATGGTGTGAGGCTGCAAGCAAGAACTGAACAGTAAAAATAGAAAATTGTTTATGAGTGAAATAAAAACTAAAGTTTATGCGAAGAGTGTACCGTTTAAACAGAGCAAAGATCCAACGGTACCCTTGGAGCAAATATCCATCTATCATCTTAGATATCGCTTTCAACCAATATTTCAAAAATTTAGTAAAAAAATGGCTTGCTGCCCTAGTTACTATTCCTGTTATTATCCTCGCGCGCCATGTACTCCAAATATGTGTTATCCACGTATCTCTTGTTGTTCGCCATGTAGGACATCGTGCTGTTATTATCCATCGTATAGCTGCTGTTCCCCGTGCGGCTTTTACCGTGGCTGCTGTTAGAGGATAATGGATAAGCATTAACAATTCACAATGGGAAAGAAGTGACATATTTCTTTTACATGGTAAGTTTTGTAATTAATTCATTCACTTTAAAATTTGTTAAATTCAATTAAGCCGTTGCTTGATATAATACACAAGTATTTCAAGTGTATGTCTTGTGCAGTTACTAAATGTGGTTTACATGGAAAAACATAATTATGAGGCAGCCACACTTTGTGAGTCTATGGTTGTCATCTACATGATGCATAACTCTTAAATTTGTTTTTATTATTTGCTATAATTCAATTTTTCACTGCAGCATTGTTTGATTTAACAATTACGAGAGATATATTCTCCCGTGTATTATTTATTACACCACTCCTAAAAAGATAATTGTTAACAAAAATTGTTTTATTTTTGTAAAACATGTTTACATACCTGTATGTTAACATACATCACTTTTCCGTGTGTGTGAACTTATAGATTCTCATCCTTGTTTAATATCAATCATTCATTTGGCAATATCACCCAAGTTGTTTAAAAATTTTAAAGGTGCATTCGTTCCATTTAAACTTAAAAATTCCAAATAAATGCAAGATTAAATGATCCGACACGGTAATATCTTTAATAAAATTTTCGTTATATATTTAAACCTTATGCGATTGTTACGCATTTAGCGCTATCTAATCTCAGCATATAATGTGCTATCAGCTGGTATTTGATAAGAAATGTCAAAACAATTATGACAAATCGGAAGTGCTGCCAGGTTATTACAATTAAACACTTTTCAAATACTCTACAAAGTGCCAAAATATTCTTTCTGAGTGTTTTACCATAAACATACAAATAAAAAAGTTTGTAACGTGATAAACGTAAGTGGTTTTTGTTAAGTGAATGTTTATATATATGAATATATCTAAAATATATATCTAACTACTGTTTTACAAGTAAAAGCAAAAAAATTAGAGAATTTAAAAACATTTCTCTGCTTGTTAAGTCACAAATTTTTTTTGTATATTTTTTTCTATGTACTTAGTTTCACTAACAAAATTAGAATATTTGTAATAATTTTGGATTCATTTTTAAAAATTTTCTGTTAATATACATCCTACCAATAAAATAGTTTTATAAATTCTGTCTGAATGATGCAAATATGTTAGCATTTTAAAAGAATTTTCTACAGACAGAAGTTACTATTAACTATTATTTAAGAAATGGTTCTAGTACATCCGCTATATATTCTAAGTGAACAAAATCAAACGCTCATCTATAACAATCACATGAGAAAATCCTCTCAATTAAGCCGATGATTAATAAAAAAATTGTATTAATTCTGTTGAAAAAGTAATGTAAACATTATCTGAAGGCATAAAAAATGGAGTCGAAAAAGAACAAAAAAGTTTCTGGATATAAAAATTCTAAAACAGAAGGAGCTAATGGTCAGCGCTTAAAAGGAGCAGGAAAGTTTGCTGAAATTGAAATTCGCAATGTTGAAACCGATTCAAGTAAAGAAAGTGATGCTACTAAGAAAATTGAATCTCAAAAATCGAGTGTATCAAGTAAGTCAAAAAAATCTGACTTAAGTGATGTTTCTGACGAAATCGTCATATCGGAATTTAAAGATAAAAGCTCCTCTTCATTTGAAGAAAATGAAAGGAAAAATGTGAATAAAGCAAAACAGTTAAAAAACTCCAACAATAATAATTCAACCGATGATACAAATAATAAATTGGATGATTACAAGTTTATTGCATTGACTAAGTGGGTCGACATCAAGGATAAGCCAAATTTGAAAGATAGTGTACGCCAAAGTTTTGTAAATGAATCAAGTGAAACAGACGTGGAAAATCAATCTAAAAATAAAAAAAAAACTGAAAATTCTGAATCTGGCCGTAGACGTAACTACGATAAGGCTTCTAATACTAGTTATCAAGCGAATTCCAGTTCAAATGGAACTACCCATAAAAGCGGAGATACCAGTGAAGATGAAGACAGTCAACCTTATAACAATTATCTAAAACAGAGTTGTTCTCTTCCAACACTTACAAGTCTTAAGGCACCAAATGGTATAGAAAAATTGAAGCGTCAGTTAATGGGAAAACTTTTAGAGACTGCAATGTGCAGGCGTAAAAGTAAATGGAGTTTTAGAAGAAAATGTTGTAAGCAACCACCTCCACCGTTACCAGTTGAAAATCTTACAAAAGGCTGTGTTATTCAACAAATTTTACATTACAATGAATCAGATGAAGATTCGTGTTTTAGTGATACTAGCGAAGACGATGGCTCTAATGCTAGTATTCATTATAATAGTCCTTGCTGTGATTCTTTTACTCGTCATTGTAGTTCTAACTGCTCATCTCGTTCTTCATATAGTGGTAATTACGGTATGCAGAGTGAATGTGGGCAAAGTCCATCCTATTGTCCAACCTATTATAATCCATATTACTGTTCGGGATATTGCTATCCGCAGTGTGGCAATATGTGCTTTAATCCTTATCCATTTCCTATGGAAGCATCAACAAACTATTGTACAAATAACTTTGCCTGTCCAAAGCCAAACAAATGTAAGTGTTGCGTACAACCGACAATAAATGAAAACAATTGTAAATTAAAGCATTGCAGTTTTTCATCACATGCTGATGTAGAACAGTGCAACGGTTTTGGGGAACCATTTGCAGCGTATTTTCCGCAGGCTTCAGAGGAGACCGTTTGCTATAAGTGCAAGGCTGTGCCAAGCAACTCGTCAGGAAGAGCTTGCTGTTCCAGATCCGATAAAATTAAACTACTACAGAATAGTAACTCATATATATCCGTTAAATCAGAAGTCGACAAAAATGAGCTTTGTGACGTTAACAATAAAATTGAATAAAAATAGTTGGTAAGTGCAAATATTTTTCATTAACATTGGAATAAGTAATATTTTTCATGAGCTAAATGCTTGACTATTAAGAAATATAAGAACTTTGACAGTATTGGGTATAAGAAACATGATTATATATATGTACATATAATATGTTAAGTATATATAATATCGCAACTGTAGATCGAAAATTTTCGTAAGTTGCTCATTGTATCTTTTAATTGCAAATGTTTATTGTCTGCATTCGGACTTAAAATATAGCATTAAAGATATACATTTTTTAAAGAATTCTATGATATTTTTGTCAGAAAATTAACTTATTCGTATATGTCAAAACAAAAAAAATTAAATTATAGAAATTATTTAAAAATGGTTGTTACATAAATTTCTGATACATACATTTGGCAATGTCAAAATTATAATGTTGCTATTTAAATTACTCCGTGCAATAAGAAGCTCAGCTGCTATTTTAAGTGTAGTGTAATTAACCATATTTATCGTTAAATGTTAAATATGTAAAGTGTATTTAATGAAGATACATATAAATTTATATCAATAATGTCTATGGGCAGTCGCCTACCAGGTTGTTATTGCAGACCTCCAGTAGTAGGTTTTGAAGTGGCATTTCGATATCCATCAATTAATAGCAAAAGAATAACGATTGGTAAAAAAAACAGACATAGAAGCCCAGCCGACTTGTATTACAAAGGATTGGCTTCATTAAATAAGGAACACAGCTTAAATAATGGCAATCAACGGTTAAATCACTCACGAGAAGATCATACACAAAATTCTAACTATCAACGTAAACCTCACTCACCGAAAGAACCTCCACCTAACCTTACGAACCAAAAAGAACCTGACAATTCTATATACTGTACCATTCCTATAAGACCAAGCATAGTAACTATAAGGAATAATATGTCGTCTTCAGAACAAAAACATATCAATACACGAAATAATGAAAATTCTGATTCTGGACATAAAATTGCAAGGTCAGATGTTGAACCGCGTAGTGCAAATGCCAACTATAACTTCTTTGAAAATAAAGACAATTCTCAAGAATATGCATCGTTGCGCATGGCTCTTTCAATAACAGTTCCAAATTCTCAAAATGATTCTTCATCTTTTGCAAGAGAGAGATTAACGGGTATAGTATTTAATCAAAAATCATCCAAAGAAATAAGTACGGTACCTAGTGATGACTCTAAATATAAAGATAACACCAAATGTAAAAGTAACTCTGATAATACAGATAATAGTCATCATAGTGATGTTCATAGTCATCAAAGTGATCATAGCCACCATAGTCATCGCAGTCATTGTAGTGATCATAGTCATCGTAGTGATAATCATAGTCATCAAAGTGATCATAGTCATCAAAGTGATCATAGTCACCATAGTTATCGCAGTCATCATAGTGATCATAGCAAACGTAATACCAATGAGGTTAGTTGTAGTCGAAATGGTTGTGTTTGTCCTAAAGAAGAACAACGAAGGAATTTTGGGATGAGGGGTGAACAAACACCAGGTAGAAGTAGAAAACAAACAAAATGTACACATTCCAAGGACAGTTATAGTCGAAGTATATCACGTAACATTGAAAATAGAAAGTACAGTGATTTTAATTATGCACCATGTAATGGGGAAGTACGTACAGAAAACGAAGAATCAATAAATAAAAATGAAAAAAAGCAGATGGGGCGCAACACTTCTGAAGTTGAAAAACAAAAAACTGAAAACACGAAAAAAGCTTCAAATCAACATAGAGAAATAAATGGTGACAAGTTTTTGGAAATTGATAGAACTCAACACGGTGTGCACAAAGAAAATAGCGGATCAATAAAAGATAAATCCAGTAGTAAAAGTATAACAACTGCAACTTACTTGGATGTGAGTCAAGCGCAACCCTGTCTAAGTAGTCAACAAAGCAAGTCATATACCAGTGGTAGTAGTGGTAGTAGTATAACAGCAAGAACCTATTTGGATATTGACCCAGCTCCGCCGAAAAAAGAAAAAAAAGAAGAAAAAAGTCCAACTCACTTAAATTTCTTTGAAAGAGATTCTGAAGTTACAATAAAGAGTCGTTCTCAAACTGAGTCAATATATTTTTTCCCTGAAAAGGAACCATGTCGAAATAAAGCTGGAGCTGTGCCCAATTCAGTCAGTAAAAGAAGCAATGTCAACTGCATTGAAAAAGAGAGAGATCGATATAATTCTGCTCATTCATCACAACCTAAACGGAATTCATCGCCTACTGGACGTCAGGTAAAACAGCCATCTTTTAATTTTTTTCTAAACAATAAAGACTATAATACAACAGACATGAGCTCAGAGAAAAGCAACTGCGTAACTGGAAATAGTATTTTGCAGAAAAGTGATAAAAAACAGGGTTTACAAAAAGATAAACTAGCTAAAAGCAATTCGAGCATTTCATTCGATTTAGAAAGAAAACATCCTAGAAAAATTTCAAATACAAAATTGATTGAAAGTAGAAATCGTCGTCCGATGAACTGCCGTGCGAGGCATAATCAAACTAAACGTAATAAAAACCACGAAGTTGGTATTTCTCAGCATAAACCTGGCACTAGAAATACTGAAAAATACTTCCCTACTAGCAATATTAAACCGCATCCCTGCGAGTGTAAAAATTGCAAGCAATTTCTCAAATTGAAAAACAATGGTGGCCACCAAAACATGGACGAGAGGAAAAATTTACTAAAATCAACAAAAACCGGATCAGAAACAAAAATAAGTCAGTGTGAACCAAAGCAGGAAAACAAATACTTGTTAAAAAATAAAAATGCTCTTAGAAGTAAAGATAACACTCATAAGGAATTAAAGGTCAGTGAATATGATTCAGATTTTTCTACAAACCACAGGGCACAGTATTATTATAATGAAGATGAGCATAGGCGAAAAGTTCAAGATACTTCCAGTGATTATTCACCTTTTTCTTCAAGCAGTTCCTGTATTGTATCACCATGGAGTAAAATCCGTACAAGAAAAAAACCACGCAAGCGATCCGTTTCAAAGAAAGAAAAACGAAAGAGAGAAAAAACAGTTTGCTGTACCTTCCGCAATCCCAATTATGCATCATCTGATGACGAAGCAGATTCCTTATACCTTGCAAACAGATCAATAAAAGCTAGGGGCAAAGGATGTGAAAAATCTCACAGTGATTATATTGCAAATAAACGCACATACGAAGCTAATAAATTTTCGAATGAAGAAATATCGGAAGTAAAGACACGGACATCAGCCACATCAAATTTAAAATCTCGCAGAGATGAGAGTACGCAAACATCAACAAAGGAATCGAAAAAAACAAAAATATATACGTGTTGTTATAAACACCCTAAAAATAATGAAGAAGACAGTTTCTATAAGCCTACAAAGACAAAATCATTTGATAATAAAGAGAAATATGAGAGCAGCAAAACACGAGAACCAAACGCATCAATAAGGTCTTTGGACAAAAAAGAAATATATGACAGTAAGACACAAAAATCGAGACCTGAGTCTCATGAGAATAGAAGTCATCACAAACCAACAGATGAACCCGAAGATGAAAAGGAGAAACATAAGAGTAAACTGCAACAAACAAATGCACCCAGCGTCTATGAACAGGAACCGCAACCGCAAAAAACTTCAACTTGCTGTTCCAGGCCCTCAAAGTCAAAGTCATCTAATGATGAAGAGATACATGGAAATAAGACACAAAAGTCGGAAAAACCATTTAGTTCTTGTTGTAAAAAATCCAAACCTGACGAAGAGGAAAGTTATTATAAACCTTCAGAGGAACCAAAACAGACAAAAAGCACAAAATCAAAGTCATCTGATGATGAAGAGATACATGAAAGTAAGACACAGAAGTCGAAAAAATCATGTAGTTCTTGTTTCAAAAAATCAACACCTGACGAGGATGAAAGTTATTATAAATCTTCAGAGGAACCAAAACAGACAAAAATCACGAAATCAAAGTCATCTGATGATGAAGAGATACATGAAGGTAAGACACACAAATCGAAAAAACCATGTAGTTCCTGTTTCAAAAACTCCAAACCTGATGAGGACGAAAGTTACTATAAACCTGCAGATGAAACAAAACAAAGAAAAACTTCCGCTTGCTGTTCTAGGCCCTCAAAGTCAAAGCCATCTGATGATGAAGAGATATATGAAAGTAAGACACAGAAGTCGGAAAAATCATGTAGTTCTTGTTTCAAAAAATCCAAACCTAATGAGGATGAAAGTTATTATAAACCTTCAGAGGAACCGAAACAGCCAAATGTCAGCAAATCAAAGTCATCTGACAATGAAGAGAAATATGAAAGTAAGACACAAAAGTCGGAAAAACCATGTAGTTCTTGTTGTAAAAAATCCAAACTTGATGAGGATGACAGTTATTACAAACCTGCAGATGAAACAAAACAAACAAAAATGTCCACTTGCTGTTCTAGTCCTGCGAAGTCCAAGTCATCTGATGGTGAAGAGATATATGAAGATAAGTCACAGAAATCGGAAAAAACATGTAGTTCTTGCTGTAAAAAATCTAAACCTGATGAGAATGAAAGTTATTATAAACCTTCAGAGGAACTAAAACAACCAAACGTTACGAAATCAAAGTCACCTGATGATGAAGAGATACATAAAAATAAAACACAGAAATCGGAAGAACCATGTAGTTCTTGTTGTAAAAAATCCAAACCTGACGAGGATGAAAGTTATTATAAACCTGCAGATGAAACAAAACAAACAAAAATTTCCTCTTGCTGTTCTAGACCTACCAAGTCAAAGTCATCTGATGGCGAAGAGATATATGGAAGTAAGACACAGAAGTCGGAAGAACCATATTGTTCTTGTTGTAAAAAATCCAAACCAAATGAGGATGAAAGTTATTATAAACCTTCAGAGGAACCGAAACAGACAAAAATCACAAAATCAAAAACACCTGATGAAGAGAAATATGAAAGTAAGGCACGGAAGTCGGAAGAACCATGTAGTTCTTGCTGTAAAAAATCCAAACCTGATGAGGATGAAAGTTATTATAAACCTGCAGATGAAACAAAACAAGCAAAAATTTCCTCTTGCTGTTCTAGACCTACCAAGTCAAAGTCATCTGATGGCGAAGAGATATATGGAAGTAAGACACAGAAGTCGGAAGAACCATGCAGTTCTTGTTGTAAAAAATCTAAACCTGATGAGGATGAAAGTTACTATAAACCTGCAGATGAAACAAAACAAGCAAAAATTTCCTCTTGCTGTTCTAGACCTACCAAGTCAAAGTCATCTGATGGTGAAGAGATATATGAAGATAAGACACAGAAATCGGAAAAAACATGTTGTTCTTGTTGTAAAAAATCCAAACCTGATGAGGATGAAACTCACTATAAACCTTCAGGGGAACCAAAACAGACAAAAATCACAAAATCAAAAACACCTGATAATGAAGAGATGTATGAAAACAAGACACAGAAGTCGGAAGAACCATGTTGTTCTTGTTGTAAAAAATCTAAACCTGATGCGGATGAAAGTTATTACAAACCTGCAGAAGAAGCAGAACAAGCAAAAATTTCCTCTTGCTGTTCTAGACCTACCAAGTCAAAGTCATCTGATGGTGAAGAGATATCTGAAGATAAGACACAGAAATCGGAAAAAACATGTTGTTCTTGTTGTAAAAAATCCAAACCTGATGAGAATGAAAGTTACTATAAACCTTCAGGGGAACCAAAACAGGCAAAAATCACAAAATCAAAAACACCTGATAATGAAGAGATATATGAAAACAAGACACAGAAGTCGGAAGAACCATGTTGTTCTTGTTGTAAAAAATCTAAACCTGATGCGGATGAAAGTTATTACAAACCTGCAGAAGAAGCAGAACAAACAAGAAATTCCATTTGCTGTTCTAGGCCATCGAAGTCAAAGTCATCTGATGATGATGAGATATATGGAAGTAAGACACAGAAGTCGGAAGAACCATGTTGTTCTTGTTGTAAAAAATCTAAACCTGATGCGGATGAAAGTTATTACAAACCTGCAGAAGAAGCAGAACAAACTAGAAATTCCATTTGCTGTTCTAGGCCATCGAAGTCAAAGTCATCTGATGATGATGAGATATATGGAAGTAAGACACAGAAGTCGGAAGAACCATGTAGTTCTTGTTGTACAAAATCTAAACCTGATGACGATGAAAGTTATTACAAACCTGCAGAAGAAACACAACAAATAAAAAATTCGATATGCAGTTATAGAACATCAAAATCAGCTGAGAGTGTAGAGTTATATGAAGATAGAACACAGAAATCGGGAAAAGCATATAGTACTTCTTGTAGAATGTACATATCTAGTGAAGAGGAAATATTCTATAAAAGGGAACCTCAACAACCAACAAAATATAGGCCGTCGGAGTTTTCTAATAATGAAGACTACTATAAAGGTAAGACACAAAAATGTCATGAACAGTGTAGCTGTTGCTGCATACAACACCAAATGGATAGAAAACAAGATTCAATACCTAATGAAGATATACTTGCACCCACGACAAAACGACAAAGAAGGTCAACACCTGAATCCGAAAAATACTTAACTACATCGAGAAGAAATTCAAAAGGAAAGCCTGCATACTCATATTTTGCTGGGGAGTCACCTCAGGAAGAACGTTACAGTAATGCAGGCGAAACATGTAATTCCCAGCCAAGGATAAAAAAATTTTATTACTTTGATAATAAGAAACCAATATCATCTGCTACAGAATACAGAGCTGAGCCAGCAGTACCGAAAAAATGTGATTGCAAGGACAAAATATTAGCTAGGTCACAACAAGAAAAATTAAAAAGGAAAAGCCAAACGTATTCTATTGAAAGGAGTCCAATACGTTCAAAGAAAAAAATGAAACCACAAGCGGCACCATTGCAAGAAACTGCAGCAAAAGATGATCCTTATGCAGGCTATAAAATGATGGAATATAACACAAATCTTACAAAAAGGGAACGCAGTCGTTGTTTGATTATTGATAACAAAAAATATCCGCCAGATAGAAATGTTTTAATTATGCTTAGCTCACAAAAGCTTAATAAATTTCAAAAAAGCTTTGATAACTCTGATTATTGTTTGGTACAAGAACTGTCTTGTTATTCTGAAGATGAATCTTGTGAAAAAGAAATTCGTTCTACTAATTACGATTCAAGTGAAATAGGTACAACTAATATGCTAGGTAGGAGCCGAGGAGGTGGTAATGATCCTAGTTGCAGTTCAAATAATTCCCCTCATTTATCCAAACACAAAATATTATGCTGCTCGATTGACTCTACAAATGCTGTTGAAGAAAATAAAAGAGTTAATAACAAATCACATTGTAACTGCAATTCAGTTAGTTTCTCTGAATTACGCTCCCCTACGAATCAATCAAACCACAGAACCTATGATAAGAATTCAAGTGGAAACACCTACGCACCCGTTGAAGAAGAACAGGATTTATGTGACCTATGCGAAAGCGACTCTTCCTTATTGATTCCATTTTATTCAGAAAAAAGAGTTGACAGAAAATCATCGCTGAAAACAGTTTCGCAATCAAATAGCCAAAATAGCCAATCAAAAACCGAACCCTATCCATGTTATAAAGATGCAAAAAGCAGATCATCGGTTAGAAATGTTCCACGGTCACATAGTACACAGAAAGTAAAAACTACGTCGCAATGTCAATGTTCACGAGACACAAAGAAAAGAAAAGTACCTGTAACACAATCAGTTATATCTAAAGTAAATTACAAGGACTCCGATGAAGCGTGCAATATGGATTGTGATAGTAAATCATCATTATTATTGCCGTTATATACAGAAAAAGAAAAGGGCAAAATAAATAACAATAAACCAAATTCTAAATTGTTTGAAAAAAAAAAGTCTTGTCAATGCAAAAAAAATATGACAAATGCTGCATCACTGCAAAACTTTAAAAGGTCGTCAAGAACTTCCTTGCACAACAAACAGTCTGAAAACGAGTCAAGAAGTAACTTTAAAAGCACAGTCCCTTCCCAAATAGATAAGCCCACATGTCGGTATCCAACAAAATTTAAATCTGTGTATTTAGATGAGGGAAAATGCGTAATGGATAAATATTCGTTACACATGTCCGATTCAAATAAAAATCTAACATCTAGAGAAAAAATGGGAAAGGAAATAAAAACACCTAATACCCACAATCGAAACAGTGAAAAATTTTCTCAACAGAAATCAATTTCCAAATTAAGGACCCCATTTGGTAAATCTAATAGATCTTCTAAAAGTGCAAAACCGATTAACTACGATAGCAAGGGAAAAAAGCAAGAGAAACCATTGGCATATAGAGAAGTGTATACAAGCGGAGTACCAATTGAGGATAGACATAATACGACTGTAGATAATTCAACATGTAAATGCAATAAAAAGCATCAACAGCATTTTAAAGTAATCGAAAAGAGTGCTAGCGTTGAAGATTATTCGAGTAATCCAGAAATCTGTAAAAAAAAAAAACATTCTAAAACTGGAGATTCTAAATTCAAGGAAGAGAGATTCAGAAGTAAACACAAACATACTAGGCCAGCCGATCATGGAATTTCAAAAAAAAGAAATATTGGTGGAAATTGTGAGGATGAATTAGATTCAAAAAGTTCAAAAAAAGGTAACATATTTAAAAAGTGTTTTAAAGTTTATGAAAAAGACTGCGACGGTAATGACGAGCATTCGGAAGATGAATATATTCCAAATAGTAATAGTGAACAATTTAATAAACCTGATAGTTCGTCTTGTGATGATGACAGTTGTGAGGCAATTAAAAGTTTCCATGATAGTATGATTCCTCCTCAAAGTAATCCTAATAGATGTTTTAGAGTGGTTGAAAGAATATGCTCTGATTTTAATGAGCAGGAAATAAATTTAACTGAAAACACAAGTAATATGGGAAGTAGTAAAATGGAAGGATTTTCTAAACTTTTACCAAAACTTTCAAAACTTTCAAGTTCAAGGAAATGCATTAATATTAAACAAACAGATTGTTCGGAAAGTAGACACAATTACAATAGTGACGAAGATTCTGATGCAAAAAATTTGGAACCTGTAAGCTCCTTTGTAAGTAAGAAGCGCATGGGAGCACATAAAATGACAGATTGCAAGTGTTCAAATGGTCAACACAGTTTACCAAGCAGACACAACTTCAGTAGTGAAAGATCGGATTCATTCGATAGGTCCAATACTAATTCTTATCACAAAATCAAGCCACATCGAAATAATAGGTTAGAAAATGATCTAACACCTCATGACGGGTGTAACATAAGACTTATAATGGCAGATGACATAAGTTTAAATAGTCAACAGAGTTTACCAAGCAGACATAACTTCAGAAGTGAAAGAGCGGATTCGTTTGATAGGTCCAATAATAATTCTCATCACAAAATCAAGCCACATCAAAGTAATAGTTTAGAAAATTATCTAAAACCTAAAAACGGAAAGCTTCATGATAAGTGTAACAGACCACATGTAATGACAGATCACATAAGTTCGAGTAATCAACAGAGATTACCAAGCCGACACAGTTTCAGCAGTGAACGAGCGGATTTGTCTGATAGATCTAATACTAATTCTCACCACAAAATGAAGCCACATCGAAGAAATAGTTTTGAAAACTATCTGAAACCTGAAGAAGAAAAATTTCATGATAAGTATAACGATAATCCTTACAGGCCATTAAGTAATATAAGACTCAAACATTCCAGTTCTAGAAGCGAAAGTAACTCTCGATATAATGGTAATGGAGAAGAATTTAATATTAAAAATTTGAAGTCCAATAGAAATGAGTGTTATATGTTATACGAAAAAAGCTGTAGTGACGATGAAAGTGAGGAAGACTATGATGAACATATATTAGGAAAGAATAAGAGTCACATGGCATTTGAAACAGAACCATCAATACATAATCAAAACCATAGTAAAATATTTGACGATGAAAACACTTTTGTTAGCAGAACAGTGCAACCAGGAAATTTTATTGAGGAATATGTGATCAGAGACCCAAACACTAATGTTTTACGTTGTTACGAAGTCTATGAGACAAGTTGTTCCGATGAAGGAGAGGACGATTATATATATAATGAAAGTTCATCTGACAGCGATAGTGAAGTTATGCATAATGAAACGCAATCTGAAACCTTATCCGATATAGATGAGAGTCAGAACGATTTAGAGACTTGCGGTTCAACTGATTCAGCATTGGAATCATATACGGTTCAAAGCAAAATAGACTTGAGATATTCTATTGCGGCGTCTGCACCTGAGTATAAGGATACATCTTGTGACAATCATAAATCAATTTGCGAGAGTAAATTCAATGGTGAGAGTATTTATCAATCGTCGTACAAGAATATATGTTTGTAATTATATTTTCCTTGGAAGTCAGTTCTATGTAAATGAAGATGAACGAATAGAATGCACTACTTTAGTTCAGCGGTGAGTGAGTTGCATTAAAATTTTTAAAATATTCAGAATATATAATATTATATTCTGCTTTTGCTACGCAGTTTAATATAATTTTTAGTGTTTTACTTGAATATTGGCACACAAAAATCTGCCTATATAAAACTATCTGTACTTGTTTTTACGAACTCAGTGGTTTTTTGACCAAGGACCTGCGGTCTGCTGACTACCGTTTGGGAACTACTATTACTACTACTATTCAAATATTACAAAAATATTACTACTCATTTCTTTATCTATGCTGAATCGTATCCTATATTTTTATAACTTGTGAAGTATAGTATAGTATAGTGGAATATACCACTATATCACTATATCCACTATACTTCATAGTTGGATGAAGTATAGTGGAATTGTAATTTTGAGGGTCATAATATGAGTTCAATATCAAAGTGAAATAAACATAAATAAAAGGTTGTAGTGTATCAACAAGTCGTTCTAAGCCGTGTATATTCTGTTATCAATTCGTCGTACCGTTTAAAAAAAATTCAATTGGCCAATAAATGCACTTCAAAAGACTTTCTAATTCACCCTTTCAATAGAGTTTCACAAATTAATGGCTAAATTATTGATAAATTTGCAATATTTTTCTATGTGTTGTGTATTAAATAATGCGAAGAGACAGATATTCAAGTGAAATCAGTTCCATATTCTAAACTTATCGGTGCTTAACAATTCTATTAAATTATTTATTGATAAAAGGCACAACTGATATTCAACATTTCTTTGGCACTAGTCAAAACCAAAAACCAGACCAACGGAAACCATTGGCAACAACAACGGTGACTACGATAATTGTTTACAAAAATAAATATATAACTATAATCGAATGTTCTCAAGAAATCATATTATTATCATTGATTAGATTTACTACTTAATTGAGAGGAAATTGCCATGAATGATATTTACGTTGAACTAGTTGGCAAATTGTTAGTAGCGTTCGACGTACCAAGACGTAAAAAATGTTAAGAACTTTCTTTATAAATCTGTTAATATTCATTTTGCTGTTAAACTTTGGAGCGAGAATATTGTTGTGTGAGACGAGAGCGGGCGCTGAGGAGTGCTTCGAGATCCATTTCGAGGCGATAATAAATGCCTCGTTTGAATATGCCGCAGATTATAAGTCTTGTGTTAACAATAAAAATGTTAAACATATAGCAGTAAGAAATCAGAAACGCACAGAGCGAGACCGTATACAGGAGGCGGTTGCGGCGATATGTACGCGTTTCGAAAGTTGCAATATCCTGATCAATAATTTCGATTACTTCCAGTGCATAAAAATAGTAGTGAGTTTTTTACGAATTAAAATGATGTAAACCCATCACTAATGATGGACAATTTTTACCTGTTTCTAGAGTTTGGAAAATATGTTGGACACGCTGACAATCAAATTTATATCGACGATAGCATTGATCGACTTAGATGAGGAATTGAATCAAGCAGAGAAGGATTTCATGAAATGCAGCGTACAAGCGGAACACAAGTATATAAACGCAACAGCATCGGCTTACCTTGACTTTGTATTGTGTACTGATACTTAAGCTGCATAAAGATACATCTGGCTTTGATGTCAAAGATTACTTCACTTACTTCTTTACTCAGTAAAGATATATTTTAATGCAACAAAAGGATGCTTGATTTGGATTTTTAAACAATTTGTAAATATGTAAATAAGTGTAATTTGTATTTTCCTACTGGGGGAAGTTAAAAAATTCGGTCATAATGACTGCATATGAAATTGATAGTATTAAGTTAATAAAGAATTATGATATAAATTTCAAAATACATACTTAGTCCATTATGTTAGAGACGGAATTTGCTATTATTCAAACGGCAACGTATGCTTCTCTAGAGTTTAGAGTCACTTGTTAGCGTAAAAGATATGTCCTGGTTACAGTGTTCCATTCCATTGAAAGCACAATACTCTAGAATTATACTCTGGCATTAAAATAAGTAATAATAATGTAAAAATTACAGCAATAATGGTGTGGGGCATACCAGACCCCACCGTTATTGGTACAAATAAAATTTCGTTAATCGAAAGTTTTTATAAAATAGGCATAGGCATTCTTCATGATAATATTATTATAATTAATTCTAAATTGTTGATAAAAATGGTTAAAAGTTAAATTTATTAATTTTTCATTAATTTTGCTCTGATAAAATCAACGAATAAAAACTTATTAGAAAGCAAATTGAGATAAAGGAAAAAAAAGAGCATATCGTTTATATTGAAGCCTGATTTGAAGAAAGGGTTTTAATTACAGCATTATGGAATATATTAATGTTGAAAAAGATAATGCTCAATGTAATTTAATGCCATTACTAGAGCAGACTATATAGCTATTTTATAGCTATTATCTTCAAATTTCCATCATCAGTGGAGTTTGAAAATTTCTATTGATTCAATTGTTAGTATGCAAGTTTTGGACTGATTAAATTTAAAACAAGGTCTTGCGTGTTAATACACAAGAAAACATTATTTGTGTTATACTCGTACAAACTTAAAGCTTTATCAAATTTTACTTGCACATACCATAAATCACAGCTATATAAATTAACCCAATCGTTGTAAATTATTGTTTTTTTAAACTTCAACAGTATTGAAGTTAGTAACATCGCTAGCATTTAGATCTGAACATTTTTCCACTAATCCCGATTTTTGTTTTCGAAATCGATTCTTACCATGTTACCAAGTCAGATTAAAGAGTTATCTGTTAATGACTTTGATTATTGCAGTTGTTATACCTTCGAGTGTTCTGCGATAGCATAAGGCGTTCCTCATGCAGAATTTTTTAGCAAAAAAACACTTCTTGTATGAAAGACAAAGCACTGCACTTATTTTTCTATTTCCGAAACTAATATAAACCCTTTCATATAGACGTTTTCACAATTACTAAAAAATCTCTAAAATATATATGATGGATTGGTTCAAGTGTTAGCTTACTCGATGCGATATACTCGTTTGAACCTACTTTGGAGGTGACAAAATCTAATTTTGTTTTGATTTATGAGTTTTTTATTTAATGTTGTAAAGAAATATATTTTATGCTTATCTTTAGAGCAACCAAGCAAGCTAGTTTTGTTTTTATTAAAATGTTTTCTATTAGTTTACAAAGGTTTCTCTTAACTGAGATATAATTAGAAGTTGCACTTTTGGTAGGGACCCATAGTAATTGTTGACAATGCGGACTAATATCGATAAGAATTATCCGATAAGTTGCAGAAGATAAAGTTTGATAATAATTTCTGGTTAAAAAAAGCAAGATACCAATTAAATTATTTGGTCTTGCTAGTGCAATATCCAATAATAATACTGAAAGTAATTTAATTATAAAAACGTAGTATATCAACTAAATTATTAGATTGTACTAGTGTAGCACCTAATAATAAAAGCTTTATTAATTAATTAAGAAAATAGTAAAATGTCATTAAATTTTTAGGTTTTGCTAGTGCAATATCAAATAATATATTAATTGTAAAAATAAACTCTAATTGTATGATTGCAATATATGTATTAAAAATTTCTGTTTAAAATTCTACCTGTCGTTTTGGATTGCAATGAAGCTATAATGCTAGAGTAATATGTAATTTCAGTCTGAACAACTTTTATTATTCAACATTTAACAATTATTTCTGTGTAAATAGTGTTAATGCTTAGTGTTGATTTTTTGCTTCTTTTGGCAGCAATCAATTTCTGAGCAATATATTTTGCTGCATGAGATTGAAAGGCTAAAAGGCTTTCTTTAATTACTTCCAAGTACTTAAGTGCTTTCCTGAAATTATTTTGATGCACACGCCACCAATTTAATGACTTTTTTCCATTTCTGCAATAATGTTTTGTTCTGTTTTGTTTACGCTTGCAATTATTGCTAAGACTTGCAGCTCAAGATAAATTTTTTCGTGTTTCAAATTAAATTATCGGTACACAATTATATAAAATTAAAAAAAAAACAATATGTTCAATATATGAATGAATCAAAAATATTTTGGTTATGTATATATTCGTGTCAAGCATTAGCAAAAATAAATAAATTATTGAATGAACGTATTTTATAGAAAGTATTTAATCAACAGATCTAATCTAGTTTGACGTGACTATAAAAAAATCTAAATTTGGATGAGAGAGGTATTTCAATTTAAATTTTGAAGCATAAATATTAAATAGTTTAACTGACATTGTAATACTAAACAATACCAAGATATTTGTTATTCATTTGCTCTAATAATATTTTTTTAAAGAAGTTATTGTTTTCTCAAATAAATAAGCTTTTTAACTTTTTTACTATTAATGTAGATGTACATTTCTGTACAAGCATTAAAACTTACTCGCACTTATGGCAACATGTTGCCGCAACTTGTTGCATCGTAATGTGGGTAATTGTTACAAAGCAGAAAGCTGCTCATATACATAACTTCTAAAACGAGTGAAAAAGTATATGTATATGTTATTATATATATAACAATATACTAATAAGAATTAAATCTTGAAGACATATTTAATATTGATTTAATTATTTTTGTAATAACTAATATAAGTGGATTTAAAAATTAGTATAAACTGGAATTTTTAAAATCGTTTTTATCTTGATGGAAAAAATAACTAATATCTTGATTATTACTAATAAAAATTCTATCTTCTTATCTTATATCAAGTAACCAATCTCCCGGGCTAATCGATTTTGACACACTTATCAAAAAAGTGAGTGTGTTTTTGTGTGTTATAAACATTTCAGACCAAGAAATATATAATTTGCCACTTGTATAACTTTTGCTAGCAAGGTTGAAAACTGCAACCTTGCTATGATTATAGCTGTATAATCATATCATACATATTAATTAAAATTGAAAATAAAAGACTTTTAAGATATGAAGAATTCTTCGTAAAATGATAAAAATTCTATGACCGTTTTATATTTTCACAACTGATTATTGTTTAAATTTGTGTTTCTACAGAAGATTTATAAATAGCCTATATATTGGGTTAACCCAGTGTAAATAAGCTTTAGAGTAATATTAACTATTATACATTGTCGTATAATTCTTTTTTGTGGCACTTAAAGATGACAAATTATATGGAATGATCGTATCAAATTCTTACTAAACTATAAAACCTTTTAAGCTACTTAATGATATTTTATTTTTACAATTCTCAATAAAAAGTTAATAAGTATTATTAAACACTTATATAGCACAAAAGTATTGATTATAAAAATGTTTTGATCACATAATTAACGATTGTTCATACCGTCTGCTAAGCCCTTTATAATAACAGAAAAAAAAACAAACAAAAAAAGTTAAGAAAAACAATACTAAAAATGATGTAAGAACTTTCTGATATATATATATCTATATGTAGGTTTTCAGGGCAAGATATTTGGCACCTTCTTCATACATGTGTTAAGTCGTAAATTTTTAGTGTTCTCAGAATACCAAAAAAAAGCGTCGATAAAAAAATGGCAATAAAAACAGAAAGTGTATATCAGTCTTTCTTTCTTTCATTCTTTACCAAAAAGTATGCTAAGTCTAATATTTTTTAAAGGTATTTATATCTTCCCCACAAACGTTTTAATAAATGGTGTAGTTAAAGAGTTGCATATCTATTTCTTAGTCTAGTGACGTTCGGGTTTTTACATGAAGAGTTAAGGGCTAGCATATGATAATAGCCGTCCGTTTCGTTGTGAATCAGTGAGCTTGTTAATTTATTTTGTTATCTATATTTTTCCATATAATAGAAAACATTCAGGTTTTTTTTAAAATAAATCTACTATAAATTTGATTTTAGCAAACATTCAAAAGGTACAAAAAGTCTTCCATAGTCACACTGGTTCCTAATGATCCAGTATCATGTTGCTTTAGGTTAATGTTTACATTTTCTTGCATATTAAAATATAATCCCATTATCCCATTATATTTTCTAATATTTTATTATGTTTAGAATTTTTATCATATAAACACACCGATCCTGTTCAGTTAGGATTGGTTTGCAGCATATAAGATTTTTGAAGACAGTTCAATTAGAATCCAAAAATTTACTTTAGTTGTAGTGGACCGCTTCTGTGTAAAATTATATGTATCATACAATATCTGAAATAATTTCTTTATTATCTTTATATATTCAGAAAACTATTGTTATTAGTTATTTGTTTATTTTATTTTATAATATAATGATTATATGATATATAGTATGTTAAATATTGCAGTTTCGTGTCAATGGTTCATAAGCCCCCAATAGGGTTAGCCCCTATTTTTCAGATAAATTGGGTGCTACTAATAAGAAACTATTATTGATTAAAAAATTTTAAAACTCGGGTTTTAATGCTGTATAAATGTGAAGTAGATACTTACGCTTGTCAACCGCCGATATTATCAAAATTATTGTCCTATATATAGTAGAGTGTGATTTTAGAAAATATATAAATTTCGTAAATAATAAGAAATAATTGTATGAACCCGCGAAGGGCACGCAATGGTTCGCTGGCCTTAGCCTATTATTTGACCTATATAAAAATCTTAATTATGCCTACAAACTAACAACAACAACAATAGTTCTTACATATATATTTATTTTTGTATTGCCATTTATTATTTAACTTTTTGCAATTCCCTCTTCTAATTCATTTAATATGTAAAGGCTTGCATAGTTATGATATGCATAATGCGAAGCACTTCCCTAATAGATTACACTAACAATTTTATTTCAAATATGGACCAAAAATCTTTTTGTTGTTGTGATATAAACTGTTATTATTTTTATATATTATATTATTGTAAATGCTTTAAATTAATTTAATTCATTTATTGTTTATTTTTTTTTTCAGAATTGTTCAGTGAAAATGCATTGAGCGAAGCGGTTTTATTTACTCAAACTTTTAGTAAAAATTTTAATTAATTAAGAGTGTTTGTTTCGGGTTTCGAGGATGCGAGAACTTAAGAGACTGTAGTTCCTCCCGAAACTGTAGATACAGACACATCATCATCTGAAGGTGACGTTATTGATGTTCCTTCGGTAGCTTCTGTACTAAGAGTAGACGGTAAACCGTTTTGCAAGCAATAATCAAGTGCGTCATATACATTGGTTGTTTGCTGAACATAAGTACGTTCGCTAACATTAGTGCATCTATACATATTAGCTTCGAGTAAATTGAATTCCTGCATCAAAGTAGCAGCATCATCGGAGGCATTGTTTGATATGGTATAAACAGTGCCAATCACTTCGGGACTCTTCAAAGTAAGTGCAGAATACATGCTATTAATTTGTTAATATATTATTAATTAAAAAATACTTACTAAAGCGGAAAAACAATTAAAAAAATCCAACGTTTGATTGGTTGCAATGCATGCATTGATGTCACTGCAAATTCCAGTTGCTGTAGTCGTAATTTCATTTCGTTGATCTTCCATTTGTTCGATATAATAATCACGCTGCTGAGAAGCTGTAGTAAGGCAAGAATTATAATCAGAGGACCACTCTTCGGCTGCATCCTGAAGTAATGGCAGGTAAATATTAAAACATTGCTTAGATAGGTTTGGATCTGTTGCCGTGACTATAGCATGATTTTGCAATAAGTAACTAGCTAAAGTCTGATCGGTACGCGGAGCAATTAGTTGGGGTGTTGACGGTACCACATTTATACAACCCTAAAATTTAATTTACTCACATTAATTTTTTATTATTACTATTATTAATTATAACATTAATCAACACTCACTGCAATAGTCAGGAAAATGCTTAAAACACCAACAAATAATTTCATACTGCCGTTGTAGTTAAAGTAACCAATAAAATTGTGGACTTATTTGAATTTTGTGTACAACTAAAGAGAAAATATTGTCACGATTTTTATAGCTCTGTCAATAATTAAATTTTAACTAATTTTTTTTATCTATTTTTCGTTTTATATGAACTGAAGCAGGTTTTCTTTAGTGCGTAGAAATACTTTTGTCTAGAAAAGTACCTCAGAACTGATCATCCATCTTGGCGTTTTTTATCACAGACACTTTTAATAACTTTCGTTCAATTCAAGTGTTTTTATTTTGTTTCCATTCACGTTATTTCTAAAACACATTTCCAAAAGTACGGTGGGCTGAATGAGTTTTTATTATTATTATAATAAATTTTTTAATCAACTGTTTATTAAAAATATTTACTTATACATTATATCATACTGTGATTACAAATTTAATTGTATTTATTGATTTTTACTTTCAAATAATGTGTACATATATAAAATAATTTAATCAAAATAGAAATCGATTGCATTAATTATATGAAATATTAAATATTTATACAATATTAAAAGTCCTTCACTTTGATCGAAATTATTTTAAGGACTTAAAACTGTCACATTCGGTCTTTCTTAATTATCTTTTACTATCTTCTACTATCCTCTACATTTTAACTGACTTTACACTTAAAATGCATTCTGCTAAAAGAGTGAATGGTACACTATAACCTATAAGCGTGGATGTCATTTGAGAGGGTGTTCCTAAAAACTATATCTGACGTGATGTTTTACACTGTGAAATTATGTGTCTTTGTAACCCTTCAATTTTGATGGATGTATCATTCTGACTAATAAATTGTTATGAGAATACCCTATTGGTTTTTTTTGAAGTGCAAAGAAATTGTTAAATTCTCGAATAATAAATATTGATATAGAGTAGGACTTTAAACGTTCCTTTCTGGTTTTTTTTTTAGCAAAAATTTTCCCTATTCGTCTCCTTTCTAATTATGCTCATGCTTACTTAATTTCCATGATTTTTTTAAAGTTTATTAAAACTTGGATCAATAATTTTTTATGGTGTTTTCAGTCTTTTATACAAATACATAAATTCAGTTTACAGTAGCAAATAATTTCCGAAACTGTGCTCTATGTGAACTTATACTCCTCCTTCATTATCTCCTCCATTATCTATCGAATCAATTTAATTTTAATCTTTTTATTATCTGCAAAGATTATTTTTTTCACTATTTATCATAAAACTTTAATGCTCTTAATAGAATGTTATTAATATATTAGGTCAAACAGCTGCTGTTTTATAACGAGTATAAGATTTCATAACTATACTTCTTGAATATATTAAAAAAGGTCATCCAAGTTTCCAAGTTTCGTAATCATAGAATCTCTCCAGTTGACGAATTTTTTCTTCTAATTGAAAAAGATTATCTGTTTACACTATGCATTAGAAAATTTTAATAATGACAATTTATTGTAGAATGTCGAAAGAGAACATTTGTTATAACAATTCCGTTAATAGCTTAAGTATTATTGTTGCTATATAAGATATGGTTATTAAGTTTCTTGTATATATTAAGATTATAAATGATTAAAACCCTGCTTTCATCTCTAGGAAAATGTGTTTGAATTATAAAATTCATTACACATCAATTTTATTATTGCTAGTATTTCACAAAATAACTTTGACAATTATTGGAAATTACAAAATTGTAGAATTAAAATTAATATTAAAAATGAAGTTTTCGCGTCTCTTAAGGCAATAATTATCAATTATAAATATAAAAAAAAAATATAATAAAAATATATTTTACACCGGAAATATTTAATTTTGCAGTCTGTAACGATAATGAAATAATTGATTTTCATTTTCTTTCACAGAATTGAATGAACTCATTATTATGAAAATAGAAACTAATTATTTTGTAATCAATTAAAAGTTAAACTCCCACATGTTGGCAGCTCAAATGTCTACCCTGAAGAAGGTCGTTGAAATTAAAACAAAAAATTTCAGATATTCAATTTAATTTATTTAATACAAAGTTGCCAACTTTAAAAAAAAAAGGAAAATATTAAGATCATTTGAAGGTCCAATATAAAAAAAAAGAAACAATTTTCCAAAGTAAACTTAATGTATAAGAATAAAATAAATCCACAGTTAAGGTCTAAAAGAGCCGCATAGACTGTCACTTGAATTTATCATATAACCTTATGAGTATAAATACGTTTAAAGGGATCTAATCTTAGCCTTATAATAGACTCTTTCATACTATAAAACAATAATATAAATTTTATTATATTATTAAATATAGTTTTTTATTAATATTTCAATATTATCTAATATATTATTGTAATATATCTATAATGTATATGTAATATATAATATATATCTATAATATATATATAATATATATTTTATAATATGTATTATACATAGATATATTATACTAATATATCATAGTATATATGACTAAAAAAAATATATACATACACACATATTTTATTATTATATAAAATGTGATTTATGTATAATTTTTTTAAATTATTTAATTTATTGTACACAGAATACATACCTAGTAATATGTCAATCGGTCGTAAAGTAAAATATTTATCTCTTTTTCGTACGCAAATACTTAAATGTATTTATGATCCAATCGTCATTAAAATACTCTTCAAATTTTATAGCTTTTCCATAAAAATTACTTTAATCTTTGAATGTAATCGCTTAAATTTATGTCATTATCTGAACAGAATTTGAAGTTACAAATGTTAAAAGTATTTTATTAACAGACCTTAACATTTTTTTATTGCCTAGAAGTATATAAGCATATTGTCAATCTTTTATGTATAATATGTAGTGCTTACAGTATATATAGATTAGTATGAAATATTATGGATGTTTGAATTTTGGAATAATAAAAGCAAGAATATATTTATTTACCCATTAACTGAAGCAATGATGCTTGACATAAAAAATAAAGGTGGCTGTATTTAAAAAGCACTTTTATAATAACTACATCAACAGTGTAATCTATTACTTTAACCGTTACGTCGCTACTCTCACAAGAACTTGACTCTCCAAAACTTGAATACCTCTACTGGTCTGTTAAATAACTATTATTATAAAATTGAAAAAATATTTCTATTGTTTCTCTCAGCACTTTTATTGCTTACTTAAAGATGGCATAAGTTAAAAGTCCTCTAGTATTATTAAAAACAAATAGTTGAGGTTATTTATCAACTCTTCATGTTAATTATACATCATTCATATGAAACGACTTATTGAGATATTTAAGATAAAACTCAATTTTTGCTTCACCATATTAAATCTGGAAAATAGGCTAAGATGAAAACCAGTTTGAATAAATCGTGCATTTTAACACGGTGCATGGTCTCAATATGCACGGGCCTATTTTTCTTGCTTCATTCTTTGCAATTTCCTCCTTGAACCGCACTACCAGATTTGTAAAATATTTGTTCTTGACTGCTTTTCCTTTTATGTTGAAGGTTATATTATACTTTTCAACCACTTGCTGTCGACTCTGCACACCTTCTTACTCTTCAATTTCTATGCTGATGCTGTAGTTATTTGCTTCATTATAAGATATAATGAATGGAAATATAAAAGCATTAATTTGAGTAGTCTTAAAAGCAGAGAAGATGCAATGTTCCTTACCCATAATGATTATCACCGATAGACACCTTGCAAAACTTTATAGATTTTTTTTGTAACCATCAGCATATTTTATTTAGGGTAGATTCTTTTCCTTATCTATTGCTTTGAATACAAAAGCACCATATATATAGAAATATATAAATATGTGTATATTTGGAGAATCTACAATACCTTACCAGTAAATAGAGACTTTTTTACCAGATGACATCTATATACTTATAGACGGCATCAACTTATATATTATTCTTTGTGATAAGTATTTTTAATATAGCTTACTTATCTGAAATGATTTTTCTTATAATACTAAGTGAAATTCAAATATGAAGCACAAAAAATTTAACATTTCTATAACATAATATGGTATATATAAATATCCACAAAATCACACTTCTTATAAATTGTTCTATTAAGTACAATTCGTGACATATTCATTACCAAACAAAAAGCCTTAGAAACCATGTATGCCTTACGCATACTCTATCTTTAGAGTTTTGCAAAAAAGCTTCGTCATCATACACAGGCCAAAGTAATTTTTTGGAAATTAATAAATAACTATTTCCATTAATAATAAATTATATTAATAAATTCTTTACATTCCTGCTGATATAAATGACTGTAAAGAATTGTTCTTCTTTCACAAAAATATAATTGATTTGTGTACATTTTTTAAGTGATTTTACATGTACACATGTACTTCTTATGGAACATTGGAGACATATAGCATTTTTCTATAAATAATTTATCAAATGTGTTTCTCACATGTTCTTTATCAATCACTAAATTCGAGGAAATAAAATCTTTATTAAGGCTTAAAATCTAAGTCATAATAATTAATATAATTGAATCACTGTGGAAATACCAAGATAACTCCGCCTGTAAATAAATTTTCTTTTGATATATAATTTCAAGACTTTTAACCTTTAATATATCAAATATTTTCTTTTACAAAAATCAGATAATATCAAATATTTAAATACTTAATAGGGCCAAGGTAGTATATAATACTTTATCTACATTTTTTGGTTATTACTTACATAGGTTATTGGCCTATGTTTACCTTGTCTTTCGTATCCATAGTCAACATATCGATAATTGCTTGTATTTATTTGGTTACTACTTAAGATAATAGAATAAACATAAAAAATATGAATTTATTTTTACATATATTGGCCTATTAATAGTCGATTGTATCAGTTTGTGTAGAATGTTCGATAAAATTCAACTACGTAATGAGTAGTTGAATCCCACCTGCCGATATATTTGCAAATAACTAATGCAAATTTTCTTTGCTATGTAAATTCATGTGAGTTCTTATCAAAAACTTATCAGAATTAGCAGTTTTTTTATAATATCGAAGGGATTTCATAGTAGCACATTTTGTTGAAAAAGAAAAAAATCACAGTACTACAAATTAATCAATTAAAAATTAATTAATTTTTTTTTATTAATATTTAATACTATAAAAGGCCAAAGATAATTATAATTTTCGTTAGTTACGAAACGAACGGCAACGCGATATAATTTATTAAAATCATGAAATACATTTACGGTTTTCTTTTCTTGGTGCTCTTAGGCGCTGCAAGTGTGAATGTAATTAATTTATATAATATTAAAGAAATTCATTTTCATTTCAATTAAAATATTAATTTACAAATTGGAATAATTTTTTTTAGTGCAATCCTGTTGCGGCTTTGGCACAAGCCAACTTGCAAAAATCGCTCTCTGATTACTTAGTGCAACCAAATGTATTCGCCAATACTGATCCCGCTCTCTCAGCAGCATGTTTCAACAAATACTTACCAATCTTGTCGGAAATTGCTAACACCTATTCCGTACAGTACCAGGCTTGCGTTACAACAGCTGAACAACGTACATTAAATCTGACAAATCAGGCCGCAGCTAGCAAGACAACATTCTCTCAAGAGACTCAAGCTATTTGTACCGCCTTCCAGGTTTGCGATAACGACACAGATATACTTGATTCATTCAATTGCTATGCATCTGCGGTGAGTTAAAACTTTAATAATTATTTTATATACATAATTTAAAAAGAATTTTATTTAATTTTTCAGTCCAAGGCTGATGTATCACAAATGTATGATATCTCAAGCAATGCTGCTATTGCTGCCAATACCTTGAACCAAGGTTTGGAAGAGATTCAAAATGAAGAAAGTCAATGCACGAACGCTACTCAACGTACATATGTTTCCGACACTGCATCGACATAT